CTAATATAGGATTGTCAGGAGCCATTTCAGGCTTCTCCTTTCTCACAGGGCATTGAAGTAAAAATCTTGAGACAGAAAACTTAAAGTTAGCCAAATCATTATGTGCTGATCGTGGAGACTCAAGCTCTGGAAAGTACCACAAAGTGTCTTCAGGGCTTGCTGCTATCACTAACAGCAGGTGTTCTAGCCACTGACCTTGCAACTGCCCTGCTTAGCTCTCAAACTGCCCCACTTAGTTGCCTAGCTACCAAGCCCCTCCTTCCCTTCCCTCTTTCCTGAGTTCCCCCTGCCCGAGTACCTTTCTGAGGAGTATTTAAGGCATGAAACTTGCTTCAATAAACGGATGCCTTGACAAAATACTGCTTGGCATCCGTTTCTCTTTCCTCCCAAGTCTTTCAGATAGTGCCTCTTCAAGACCCTGGAGTAACTTAGGACCTGCTGGGTGGGTCATAGGATTGGGTGAAATGATGTACACCCAGAGATCTCAAAATGAGCGAAAATGGAATTGGATAATAGGTAGATTACTTACTCCTACTAATAAGTTTGTAATAGAAGGAATACTTGTGAAATATTTTTTATGGATTTACATTGGTATACTTTTGTATATTGACACAAATTCGAATTATATTTATTATATAGACTGTTTTGATTTTTGTTTAGAATATTTGTAACAACTATATAAGGTTATTATGTCAGATTGTATAAATGTATGATTCTACCTGTTTAAAACATATTTTTATTGATGCAATTTTATGATATATTTATCATATTGCATTATATTACTCTACCTCTGATCAAGATTTTTATACATTGTTTACATTTTGAAGTCATTGTCCTGCTTTACTGCATAGTTCTTTAAAGATTGTTTTATATTCTGATATGAAGTCTTATTCTTCAACACTGTGATGAGACTTTGGTTGATTGGTCAGTCAGTTGTCTGTCAACTACTACACTTTTTGGAAGCTGCTAGACTGCACTACCTGCCTACTCAAGTAATATTATTGCTCTTCTCAGGTCTTTGATGGGGTTGAAGATGAGATAATCATACTTACCATCCTCTTATGATCTAGTTAAGCCATTTCTACTACAACATGGACTCCTTAGGATAAAATGCTTATCAAACCATTAGGATGTATTCCTTCCTTAATATTGATTATGCTTATTGTAATTCTAACTTTAATTTTGACATCTTGTGTACAGAGTTTTGTATAGGGTTTGGAATTTCGTATTAAGTTAAATGGGTAGGTGCTGTGAGAGCTCCTTCAGTCAACAGCTTTAAAATATCAATGCACTTGGGCATGGTCTCTTACAGTATGAATGAATCTATAAAGGGTATAGTTGCTCTCTTGAATCCAGTTCTTGATTCTGGATGCTAGCTATATTGTATATGAGATCCATTGCTCTGTAGGTGCTCATCTGACCTATAAAAGCCCAAGGTATTCTTACACTCTAACTTGGTGTTTTCAGAAGTCAAAGATTCAATTAGTACTCACATAGTTCAGGGTCTGTCACTCTGACTTGTACAGCCTTCAAAATTCATCATTAAAACATGAACTCAGTGTTACATGATGAACTTAGAATGAATGCAGCTACATTAGGTAAAATCAAGCACTTCCGTCTCAAATGATTCATGTGTGATTATTGGTTTGGGAAGATTGGGAGATATGGTATAAATCTTTAATTTTCTTTTGGAAAATGTGTGGATTGTTTTTAATTAAATATCATAAATCAGTCTGCCTTAGCAAGAGGAAGTATTTCATTCAGCTACAAAACTAAGAAAAGTTCCATATTTCAGCTATTCATTTTATACTATCACTTTGTTTAATTCACCCACAAACGGCTGTGAATCAAGGATTTTTTAATTGTTTTTTATTCAACTATATTTATCCACTATTCACCCTTCCTCCCCCATCCCATTGTCCCATGATTCACATGTTCCAAATTTACTAAGATCTTGTCTTTCTCTATGTCCTATATAGAATAGATTTATGTATGTCTCTGTTTGTTTCCTCTTTGTTGTATATGTTCTGGGCATTGTGAATTGTAGGCTGACTGTCCCCTGTTTTATATTGAAAAGCCACTTAGGAGTGAGTACATATATTTTTTCTTTCTGGTTCTGGGTTAACTCACTCTTTTATGTTTTCTAGGTCCATAAATTTGCACATAAATTTCAAGATGTAATTGTTTTTATCCACTCTGTAGTACTCTACTGTGTAAGTATACCACAATTTCTTTTTCCATTCTTCTGAGGAGGGGTTGTTTTCAGGTTCTGGCTCTGACAATATTGCTGTGAACACAGTTGAGCATTTGTCCTTGTGGTATGATTAAGCATCCATTGAGTACATATCCAAAGGGCATGACTGGGTTTTATGATAAGTTGTTTCCTAATTTTCTTTCATTTTTTTTTTTTAATTTTTGGTTTTCTAAGACACGGTTTCTCTTGAGCTTTGGAGCCTGTCCTGGAACTAGCTCTTGTAGACCTGGTTGGCCTTGAAGTCACAGAGATCTATCTCTGGCTCCCAATGTGCAGGGATTAAAGCCATGCCTCACAACCCGGCAGGTGACTTTCTAATTTACGGAATAACCATACTGATATCCAAAGTAGCTGACTCAGTTTGTAACCCCATCAAAAATGCAGGAGTGTTCCCTTAACTCCACATCCTCTCCAGCTTAAGTTGTCATCAGTGTTTTGATCATGCCTATTGTTACAGATGTAAGAGGGAATCTCAAATTTGTTTAGATTTTCATTTCTCTAATGACTAAGGAGTTTGGAAATTTCCTTAAGTGTCTCTCAGTCATTTTAGATTCATATGTTAAAAGATTTTTTTTTAGGTCTGTACTCCATTTTTATTGGAGTACTCCATTTTTTATTTGATGATCAATTATTTAAGTTCTTTGTATGTTCTAAAGATCAGTCTTCTATCCAATGTGGTTTAGGTGAATATCTTTTCCCATACTACAGGCTGCCTTTTTTTGTATTGTTGATCATGTCCTTTGTTTTACAGAAACTTTTGCTTCAGGAAAACTCATTTATAATTTTTCTCAGTGTCTGTGATGCCTGGGGTTATAATTTGAAAGTGGTCCTTTTTACCAATGTGTTCAAGTAAACTTCCAACATTCTGTTTTTTTTTTTTTTTTTTTTTTTTTTTTGTTTTTCGAGACAGGGTTTCTCTGTAGCTTTGGAGCCTGTCCTGGCACTAGCTCTTGTAGACCAGGCTGGCCTTGAACTCACAGAGATCCGCCTGCCTCTGCCTCCCGAGTGCTGGGATTAACCAACATTCTGTTTTATGTAGTTCAGTGTGTTTGTCTTTATGTTGTAGTCTTTGATCCATTGGGACTTGAGTTTTGTTCATGATGATAGATGTGGATCTACTTTCATTCTTCCCCACATTGATATTCAGTGATGCCATCACCATTTGTTAAATGTTTTCTCCATTTTATATTTTTTGGTGTTTTGTCAAAAATCAGGTGTAGTAGGTGAGTGGAGTGATGTCTGGGTCTTAAAATCAGTTCCATTAGTCCTCCTATCTGTTTTTGTGCCAACACCAGGCTCTCTTCAGTACTGCAGCTCTGCAGTCATCTAAAGAAGTCAGGGAATGTGATGCCTGCAGAAATTATTTTTTATGTAGGATTGTTTTGGTTATCCCGCATTTTTTTGGCTTTTATATATGAAGTTGGGTGTTTTTATTTTGAGATCTGTGAAGAATTTTTCTGATATTTACATGGGAATGGTAGTGAGCCTGTAGATTGCTATGGTGATTTCTACCTAACAAGGGCAAAGGACATCTTCCCATTTTCTGGTGTCTTCTTCAAAGATTTAATGTTCTTTTCCAACAGTCCTTTCACTTCTTTAGTTGGTAATTCCATAATATTTTATATTATTTGTGGCTACTGTTAAGAGTGATGTTTCCATCATTTATTACTTCAAACCATCTTTCCTTTTCAGAAAATATTCCTTGTAACCACCTTCTATCTACCTTCCTGATGACCACTCCCAATCTTCTGATAACTATAATTATATTCCCAACTTCTAAGGATACTTTTATACAAAACCTACAAGTAAGCGTATGAGTGATTTGACTCTTGATGCCTCTCATATTTCAGTTAATGATATCCTTTGAGCTTAAAAACATTGTTGAAACTTTTAGGATTTTATGGTTCTGGTTTGAGAGCCAAGTTGTGTTTCTTTCACTGGGCCTTTTAATGTTTTGGCTGTTTTCAGGGAGATGTTGTTTCATTATCTATTTCTGGATTCAGAGACAAAGTTCTTTCCTTTGGCTGTGGTTTGAAGACCAAAGTTGGAATACCCTTCCTGTAACTGAAAAGGATTTATCCATTACTTTGCTGGTTCAAACTAAAATAAAGAGAGTTATAATGATGCATGAACAAATTGTTGACATTTTCAAACTTTTTTCTACACAATAACTGATTTTTGTTAACTGACTGTAAGTGGCTTGACATCTAAAAGAACAATTTAAAAGAAGCACCCAGCATTTTCATCAGGTCCAAAAGATTATGATAATATGCACAAGCTTTCTCAGATGACTACACACTAAGTCTTACTCTTATATAAAACACAAAACATTATGACACTGAATTCATTTATAGTTTCACTACAGTATGATTTTTTTCTCATATTTTTGAAAAGTATCCAAATTATCTTCAGGGTTTCTCTACAGAAGGGCTCATATTATGTATTTGGAGATAATTGTGAAAAAGAATTTACCACATTCCATTCACAGGTATCTCTAGAGTATGTTACATTTTAAGCTTTTGAAGAGTACAGGGGTCTGCAAAGGCCTTATCACACTGATATCATTCATAGGGTTTCTCTCCAGTATATGTCCTTCTATACATTTGAGAGCACAATGTTGAGCAAAGGCCTTAACACACTGATTACATTCATAGAGTTTCTATCCAGTATGTGCTCTTTTATGCCTTTGAAGATGACTGAGAAGGGCAAAGCCCTTACCACACTGGGTATATTCATAGGGTTCCTCTCAAGTATGTGTTCTTTTATGGCTTTGAAAATTACTGTGGTGTGCAAAGGCCTTACCACACTGATTACATTCATGAGGTTTCTCTCCAGTATGTGTTCTTTTATGCCTTTTAAGATCACTGTGACATGCAAAGGCCTTATCACAGTGATTACATTCATAGGGTTTCTCTCCAGTATGTGTTCTTTTATGCCTTTGAAGATGACTGAGACGTGCAAAGGCCTTACCACACTGATTACAATCATAGGGTTTCTCTCCAGTATGTGTTCTTTTATGCATTTGAAGATGATTATGTCGTGTAAAGGCCTTACCACACTGATTACATTCATAGGGTTTCTCTCCAGTATGTGTTCTTTTATGTGTTTGAAGAACACTGTTTTGAGAAAAGGCCTTACCACACTGATTACATTCATAGGGTTTCTCTCCAGTATGTGTTCTTTTATGCACTTGAAGATTACTGTGTCGTGCAAAGGCCTTACCACACTGATTACATTCATAGGGTTTCTCTCCAGTATGTGTTCTTTTATGCCTTTGAAGATGACTGAGACGTGCAAAGGCCTTACCACACTGATTACAATCATAGGGTTTCTCTCCAGTATGTGTTCTTTTATGCATTTGAAGATGATTATGTCGTGTAAAGGCCTTACCACACTGATTACAATCATAAGGTTTCTCTCCATTATGTGTTCTTTTATGTCTTTGAAGACCACTGTGCCATGCAAAGGCCTTACCACACTGATTACATTCATAGCGTTTCTCTCCAGTATGTGTTCTTTTATGGCTTTGAAGATTACTGTAGTGTGCAAAGGCCTTACCACACCGATTATATTCAAATGTTTTCTCTCCAGTTCGTGTTCTTCTACGCAATTGAAGATGAATATGACGTGCAAAGGCCTTACCACACTGATTATATTCATATGGTTTTTCTCCAGTTTGTATTCTTTTATGTGTTTGAAAAACAGTACATTGAGTAATGTCTTTACCACACTGATTATATTCATAGGGTGTCTCTCTAGTATATATTCTTTTAATCTTTTGAAGATGGCTCTGATCAGCAAAGACCTTACCATGCAGATTACATTCATATGTTTTCTCTCCAGTATGTTTTCGTTTATGACTTTGATGAGTTACATACAGAAAGTCTTTATTATCTTGAACATATTCATAGGGTTTCTCTCCACTGTGTGTTCTCTTATGCATTTCACGATGATTGTGACAAGAAAAGACTTCATCACATTGCTTAATTTCACAGCATTTTTCTCCGCTATGTGTTTTTTCATTCCTTAGAAGATGAGTGTTATAAGACAAGACTTTACCACAGTGAGAATATACTGAAAACTTTTCTCCAGTTTGATTTCTTTCAATCCTGCAAGCAAAATTTACACATGTAAAAGCTTTACCACATTCAATGCAGTTGAACCTTATACCTATATGAATTAACTTCATATTTTTTCAAATTGTAAAAAGGAATCTAATATCAAGGTTTTATAGCTTTGTTTAAAATCATGTTTTGTTCTCTCATTGGGGGTCATTTTACATCTAGAAAAAATTTTTGTGATGATAAATTCCATTGTGTCATGGTTTATCTTTTCATCTATAACACTACCTATATTTTTTAGGGTATTTTTTACATTTTTGAAGAGAACTGCATATACTGAGTGCTTTACCTGTTGTAATAAGAGCGTCGGGCTATGTTCCTGGCACCCATGCACTCATATTATGACGGAGTGGCTCTCTAACGTGATGGACTACATCCACTTAAAAACCTGAGAGGTCTTTAGAAAAGGGAGAGAGTTTAATACAGCTTTGGCTTTTTGTGGGTGGCTTGCCACAAAGAAGTTTTCCTGACTCAGCAGCAGGAAAAAACTGGCTGTTTTAAAATGCCGGCTTTCTGGGCTGTGCCGCCATCACCATCTCTGTCTGGCTCCTGCTGGAGACAGAGCTTTTGAATGGAGCATTTGGAGTAAAGTGGTACACCTCGCTTGATGGCGATGTGGACTGCCATGTGCCTGGAACTGTGAGTGGCTCAGGGGCACCAAATGGCTCTGAGGCAGGAGAGGCTCAGCTCAACCATGCTGAACTATGCTGGTCTCAGCAGGAACTACCGTAATTACCATAATAATAGCATGGTTAAGGTTTAGACTAGGCAGGACTCAGGTGGTACCATATTACCTGTACATGGTGCAACTTAAGTTTTTAAGAACTGCTTAACATTTTAAGAAATGCTCCTGGATAGTAAAAAAAATTACAGATTCACAATAAAACAGATTCAGACATAAAAGACCACTAAATGAGTCACAGTGTTGGATGAATGTACGTAGGCTTGGGAGAGAGAAGAAAAAGAATATAAAGAATAAAGTTAATGTCTTTAAAAAAAGGGTAAAGTCTTTAAAGAGACAGAATAAAGTAAACTGATAGAGTAAAAATAAGACACATAAAAATGGAAAATTCACAGTGAGTCTGGATTCTTTGTATTATTGTGCTTTCTTTAAAATTTTTGACTGTACAGGAGCTAAGTACAGAGAGACATTTTATTACATGGGCTACCAAGCTGAACCAGAATGGATTTCATAAGGGTATTATGACTTCAGAATTTTGGTTTAAGGATATGATGCTTTGGAAAGGAGTTTCTTCTTTTGTTTTCACAGAGGATGAGACCCTGTGGATTGTGTCTATCCCAATATGGTATGATCATGCCCTCCTGAGAGGTTGCTGTGAACACCTTCAGAAAATTACTTCACTCAACTGCCGACTGAGATGAACCTAGCAGACAGGTTATCCCATAAAAGACCTGAATAACAGCACCCCCATTCAGCAGGAAGCAGTTTGGAGAGAAAAAAACTGTGCCCATGTTCCCAAATATTGTTTATAAATGTTCTTTTACATTTAAAGGGGGATATGATATAGGTATGAATAATTTGCATTGGTGTGGATTTTAAGGTCAATTTTGTTATACGTATATGTATTTCAGTATCTTGATTAAGGTATTGTGATTGTGTAGTTCATTTTTAAAATGTAATGTATAATTAGGAAATACAGGTTGTTGATGGATAATCATAAATATTAGTCAAGCTTGTAGTCATGTTAGTTAGATATTCAGGTTATATATAGAGATATATTTCAGTTAGATAGGTATTCTTTATATCTTTTAAAGACTGCAGAATAAGAATATGGCATTTAAATGTTTTAATCCCTTAGGGCTTTTCATGACAATGAGACACATCTGCTCCTGGCAGCATCAAGCTACTTCAAGAGGAAGATGGGCATCGAAGAGGCTCCTTATGGAGTTTGATAGCCATTTGGGCAAGAAACTGCTCTTGCCTGGACTGTTGCATAAACTGGACACAAAGAACCCGCAGAGAAAGGACAGCTGAACTTGCCTAAAGGCAAGATGTTCTTTCAGGGTTCCTGATTCATGAAAGAGTCTGCAAGACATTCTGCAGGACACAGCAGAAAGTGACTGAACTGTCTTTGAAATTTCCTGCTTCATGGAAATGTCTGCTGAACACTATGGGTCTGAAGGCCGAAGACGGATGCCCCAACGAAACAAAAGAACTTTGGGTGACTGTACAGGGAGCAAGATGTCTCTGTCATTTCTAGAGTTTTGGATTTCTTGTTTACTTAGGTAATATTATATCACTCTGGAGTCTTGATGGAGTTGAAGAATAAATAAATAGTTATAGTTTTCCTTAGTTATGATAAAAGATAAAATAGATATAAATATTGTAACTGTAATTCTTGCTTGATAACTGTTTTGCTATATGTAATTGTACTATGTTAAAGTTAAAGCCTTTCTTTTTTGTTTAAACAGAAAAAGGGGAAATGATGGAGGTGGGTCTTGTATCTTATCTGTTGCTTTCATTGGTTAATTAATAAAGAAACTGCCTAGGCCCATTTGATAGGCCAACCCTTAGGTGGGTGGAGTAAAGAAAACAGAATGCTGAGAGAAAGAAGCCGAGTCAGTGAGTCGCCATGATTCTCCCATCAGACACAAACACAGGTTAAGATCCTCCCTGGTAAGCCACCAGCCCAAGGTGCTACACAGAATATTAGAAATGGGTTAGATCAATATGTATGAGTTAGCAAATAAGAGGCTGGAACTAATGGGTCAGACAGTGTTTAAAAGAAAACAATTTCCGTGTAATTATTTCGGATAATGCTAGCCATGCGGGTGGCCGGGTGCCAGGAACGTAGCCCGCCACTCTTATTACAACATTTACAAACATTACTCCATTCATAATTTTACTATATTGTGAATCATTATACATTTGGTAAGTGAACTAAGACACCCAGAAGTATTTGCATAGACCTAGAACTCATGTTTGTTTGTTTGTTTTTGTTGTAATGTGAGTTTGTATTTATGTATTAACCATGATGATAGAAAATAAATTAACTTTGTATTTGTGGATCAAATTAAACATGTATACTCTACATAGGAACTACAGTTTATCTTCTTAATTGTTCTTAAGGAGAGGTATGCTAAATATTTCCATATTCCTATTCCATATTCCTATGCTCATACACTTGTGTCAAGAGTGACATATCATATATATATATGAAAAAATCATATATATATATATATATATATATGAAAAAAAGAATAGTGTATAAAAGATTTCCAAAATGAATCCACAAGGTTCAACTTTCAGAGACTTGAGGTATAGATATTAAGGTTTTTCCACATCACTGCCCCTTGACCCTTGACTAATCTGATTTCACTAAACTTAGCACAGTCACAAAAAGTATATGAGTGATACAAGGCTTACCATGGGCTATTGAATTAGTAGAAAGTTTTGCAGCTATACTCATCATCATTGAAATATGTATACATTTTCTGTCATGAATAGCAAGAAGCAAATGAAGCAGCAGTTCTACAACATAGCTCTCATGATGCTATGAATCAAATGGTGATATCTGTTTAGGCATTGCTACCTAGACTTTTTCTTAAATGAAGGCTTTGCAGATGCAATTCATATACAAGAAATTGAGGTATATGGATTTGTGAGAACTTAATAACCATCAATATATTTAAAGCTGTGCTTATTTACACTTTTGCTTTTGTTTTAAAGTTCCAGAACACATTACAAACTATTTAAGGGAAATTGTTATGAACTTGCCCAAGAAAATTACCTTGCATGTCTTCTAGAACATTTACAATGCTCTTTGGTGTTAAGGTCTTCCCAAAAGTATCCTAAAATACAGTACCAGAATAGAAGTTATATTATTTAAGAATGTGCAACAATTAGCTTATTATCTTAAGTGCACCTAAAAACTGTGACTGTGTTATTCACCCCATTATTCTTTCTCTAAAACAAATTACAGAACAAAATTATAAACCAAGGAAAAGTTGTCTCCATATTTTGAAACATGAAAGAAATTCATTTTCACCTATAGTAGTTAGGTTCCTGTAGGTCTCCAGCATCACATCTTTGTAGAGATTCTTCTGGGAAGGATTCAGTAAATCCCACTCTTCCTTAGTGAAGTTGATGTGCACATCATCATAGGTCACTTCCTTCAAAAATATACCATATATGAGTACAGTGTAAGTATGAGAGTGAAATGCATACTTCTTTGACAGTATAGTTTTACGATTCTCGTGTTCCCCATTCTTGTTCCATGACATAGACAGTCACTTTAGAAGGAAATTGAAAAGGAGAATCAATTCTGTTATTTCTGTGTCATTTGTATAGGATACCTCCTTATATGAGCAGTATCTATTCATGGGGAAAGAAAAAGAGAAAAGATCAACAGTATGTTGTATGCATGAGAAAATTAATGCCTACAGAAAGGAAAAAAAAGATGGGCAAACTGGGCTTATTGGTGTATTTTGCCTTTACCACAATGCTCAGCAAACAGAGGTAGGTATATTTGTTTCTGAGATGAATGCCAGTCAAGATTTAACAGAACTGCTTATCCATTTTTGGATACCATGTATTTTGTCAGAGGTTGAGGCATGAGCATGTCTTTGCCCAAAGGCTAGTTTTGACAACAAGAAAACAAGCTTTGAGTGTCTCCGGTGCTCAACATTCTCTGGAAAATAGACAATGCTACCAGTAGTAATTGTGTCTCACTTCAACAGTACCCTAGGTTATGTAAAATCCATATTTTACAGCTGTTTGAAGTGGCTGATTTACCTATCTATTCAACATTTATTCTTCATGTGTGTGAAAAACCTGACAAACTTATAGTTTGTCTAACTATAAGTAAGACAAACATTGATGACTATTGATCTATAATTCTAATACCTATATAACTTAAAGACTAAGACTTCATATTAGAATATTGTACAATAAACAATTGTACAACAAATGAGGACAATGGGCTCAAAATGTAACCAATGAATAGGTATCTTGATCAGTGGAAGAAATGTACATTGCAATTTGATAAATATATTTATTAATATATAAAATGTTTTAAGCATTGGTAGAAGCATGAATGCATATAATATTCAATATTTAACATTATATCAACATACAAAAATCTATATCAAAGCAATTGCCTATAAATTATAAATTCACTCTATTACTTACTTATTATTAATGTATGTAAATTCACACTATCTTATTCCATCCAATTTTCCCTTTTATTTCAAAGAAATCCCTGAGCCCATAAAATTTCCCTTCCAACCCACAACCCTATACCAATTATAATCAACCCCTAAATGATGTCCCTAACCCTAGGACAAACTTTGTTGGGAGAGGGGATGTAGTCTTTTAGAATTACTTCCAGCTGTCATGGGGGCGATGTTCTTTCTATGGGATCCTGCGAAACTAAAATGATGGTTAAGTTCCAAGATTACTGTCTGGTATAACTGCAAATAGTCTCTGAGTATTATGTAAAGTTTTTCTGATCTTCTTCTTATAAGGTCTGTCCAGAACATTGTAAAAAGTGGACCATTTCAGCTAACCAAGTTGGAACCATCTTGAGCAGCTGGTATGCGAAACACGTCTGGTAGTAGCACTATCATCATCATGCCATTGTATCAACCAGGTTGAGTTGTTGTTGTGGGGCCCCAACTTCTTCCTGAAACTTCAGAAATTACTGCAGGAAAATTCATTGTTCATTGTGGAAAACTGAAACATTATTTATAGTCATATACAGACATATATATTCAATGACATGTACAATAGACTTGAAAGTAGAAATGTAGAAAAGTGAAAATTTTTCTAAATTCTTCTTTCTGTCCCATGATCCTGACATTGAGAGAGAAACTCTGAATTTTTATTTTAATGACATGCTTGGATTTATAGAGGGACAGAGCCAGTGTCTTTCTCCAAAACCAGCTCTATATATTCATAAATATACATCCACTTACAAAAGGCACCCAATGAAATGATAGGATAAAAGTGTACATTACTGAATCTAAAAAAAAAAAAATAAAGGGGCATATATGTGTATGATGTAAAAGTATAGATCATTAAAATTAATTTAAAAAGGCAACTACTTATTTATATATTTTATATTGATATAGATATGGATGCTCCCTTTTGATATAAAATTGACATTTTTATCAAAACATACTGTCTATGATTTTTATATTCTTACTCAAACCATTTTATCTAATTTAACTCACTTAAACATGAAATGAAAATTTCTAGTCCTTGAAAGTTATTATTATAAACCAATTAGGATATAAAGTACTGGATGTTAGTACTTTGTTATTTATTACAATGGAAATTATACTCAAGTTAGGTATGTTTTCAACATTATATGGAATGTCATTAGCTGATTCAAATGTAAATACTTTAGAGAAAATGGTTGGTGAAGTAAAGCAAACTTTGTCTCCTTGGGAATTACTTCTGAAAATATACAAAAAGGTGATTGTATTAATTATTCAGCATATAAAATAGTGTTATAAAAATTTGAGCCCAAAAGTTAAAAATTAGGAGAGGTTATATGTGGAATCTTAATAAATTTCAGAAATTGTTGCAAGACATTGACCATCTATATCCCATTATTGGAGTAAAAAATTGAAAATAGTAATTAGAACCAAACCATAAAAGGTGACAAGTCAAAGAGAATTATCATCTAAAGCAGAAAAAAATGGTTTAGTAGAAATAAAATTATAAAAGGTACTTATGGATTGTTTGGATCTGGAGTTTGGATACATTCAAGACTTTTTTTTTTTGATACAGGTTTCTATGTAGCTTTGGAATGTGTCCTGGAACTACCTCTTCTAGTCCAGACTGGCCTTGACCTCCACCAGCCTCTGCCTCCCAAGTGCTGGGATTAAAGGCTTGAGCCACCACCTCCTGGCCGTCATTCTAGACATTTTATGCTCTGTGCATTCCCTATAGGTATTTTACTGCAGAGGAAAGATATTATCTTATAATCGATATTTTAAACATATAAACATACTGAAAGACTAAAAAGTTATGTGGAAAAAGAAACTGAGTTGTTTTTAAAAAGAAAACTGAAACTTCGTCTATTAGCAAGAATTTACCAAGGTTAAATTTTAGCATGTTTAGTCCAGTGCTCCAGTGTGGGTCTCTGTCTCTATCTCCATCCATCACCAGATGAAGATTCTATGATGATATGCAAGATATTCGTCATTATTGCACTGGAGCACTGGACTGAGCTCCCAAGGTCCCAATGAGGAGCAGAAGGAGGGAGAACATGAGCAAAGAAGTTGGGACCACAAGGGGTGCACCCACCCACTGAGACAGTGGAGCTGATCTATTGGGAGCTCACCAAGGCCAGCTGGACTGTGACTGAAAAAGCATGGGATAAAACTGGACTCTCTGAACATGGCGAACAATGAGGGCTGATGAGACGCAAAGGACAATGGCACGGGGTTTTGTTCCTGCTAAATGTGCTGGCTTTGTGGGAGCATAGCCAGTTTGGATGTTCACCTTCCTGGATATGGACGGAGGGGGGAGGACCTAGGACTTACCACAGGGCAGAAAACCCTGACTGCTCTTTGGACTGGCGAGGTAGGGGGAAAGGAGTGGGGGGAGGGGGAAAAGGGTGGGAGGAGGGGGAGGGAAATGGGAGGCTGGGAGGAGGTGGAAACTTGTTTTTTTTCCTCCTTTTCTCAATAAAAAAAATTTAGCATGTTTTACTAATGTTGAAATTGAATCATTATGGACAGGAAGTGAACATTGGCAAAGAGCTTACAGTAATTTCTTGGGAGAAATTAACAACAAATATCTCTTTAGCCATAATATTAGTGATCATATAGGGAAATAACTATTTCTAGGGAAAGGTTTCATCTAGCTTCCTGTATTTAATTTTGGGTTTGAGTCTCTCTCTGATATCTACGCATACATAACAAATACTCATCTTTAACCTCTTACAGATCTGCTGCATATGACAATTAAAATGATTAAGTTTTTTTTGCAATGAAATATGAGCATGCATTACAGTGACTCTGAAGGGGATAAAGACATTAATATAAATCTAATCACACTGAAACTGAAAAGAGAGAAAGTGAGGGCTGGAGAGAAGGCTCAGCCGTTAAAGGCTAGGCTCACAACGATAAATATGAAGAGAAAGTGAAAAGTAGCTTAACAAGCATGGAACAGAAGACCACTTCCTAAATATAACACCTGAAACGCAGAGTCTGAGAGGAAAAATAAATAAATTGGACCTTCTGAAACTGAGAAACTTCTGCAAAGCAAAGGACACAGTCAATAACACAATAAGGCTGCTTATTGGATGGGAAAATAAATTTCCAATCCCATATAAGATAGAAGACTGATCTCCAAAATATATAAAGAACTCAAGAAATTAAACATCAAAATTTCAAATAATTCAATTAAAAATGGGGTACAGAACTAAACAGAGAATTTTCTATAGAATAATCTCAAATGGCCAAAAGACACTTAAGGAAATGTTCAACATCCTTAGCCATCAGGGAAATGCAAATCAAAATGACTCTGCAATACCACCTTACACCTGTCAGAATGGCTAAGATCAAAAACACCAATAACTGCTTATGCTGGAGAGGATGTGGGAGTAAGGGGAAGACTCTTCCATTGCTGGTGGAAATGCAAATTGTACAACCACTCTGGAAAACAGTATGTCAGTTTCTCTGAAAATTAGGATTCAACGTAACTCAAGACCCAACAATACAAATGACAATAGTGTAAACTCCTTTATACATTAATATTGGTTTTAAAGTAGAGGATATTCATGCTATAATCCACAGACACAGAGTTAGTTAACAACAAAGGATCAAGGGAGGGATACATCAATCTCCCTGAAAGGGGCACTAGAATAGGTCTTCTGAATTGAATGGCGGTAGTTGGGTATGGAAACAGGAGAAATCAGGATCAGGGTGGTTGGATGTAGGGAGAATAAGGAAAGACTACAGGAATTGGGGAACATTTAGGAGTTGGTATGGTACCTAGTAGAGTAAATACTCATTAGGTTGTATAAAAATGCCACTAGCAAGGACTTTTAGGAAAGAGGGATAAAAAG